TGTTTCTGACAAAGGATGAATATTTCTTGAACAAGGCCATGCAATTTTTCGCCAGCATCGGATAAATACAGGGTATTATAACTTCAATAACAGTTTTTCAAATTCAACGTCGGGTTCTTTTTCACCAGGGTTTTTGATTAGTTTCATTCATGAGGTGTTTAGAGAACCAAATCATAATTTAGAAATGATTTTACGATATACTACCTCCGATTCTAATTAGAACTAGTTGATTAATTTGAGGAGATTAAAAAAATTAAATTAGTTATTTGTAACAAATATGTATTGTTTTTTACTAAAATATCCTTACTAATCAAGTGTATTGATTATAACTATCATTGTTAAAAGAATTACTTTAGAAAAAAATTTATAAATATGATAGACAAAGTGAATTAGAGTTTTATATTTAGAACCAAAATAAAAGTCAAACAAAATCTTATATTAAAAACCGGAGGTAGTACAAATAAATATGTGAAAGAATTTGTCTCGATTTACAGAAAAATACTTTTAAAAAATACTTTTGTAAGAATTCAAAACACTGCGTAAGAACAGATAGCAAACGCTGCAAGTTTCCTGAATCCACATTACTTGCAACTCATAAAATGATGCAACCAAACGGCACTTGCAATACAAAAACTGACCCCTAAATTAGCGTTCAACTGTAGACGATACGGCATGCATACGTTTCAGTGATCGACCAAAAAGTATGAAACTTTCACCTCAAAAAAAAAAAAAAAAAAGAAACTTTTCCAAGTAATGATGTCAACCGTCCAGCTATTCAGTCATACAGGACTTTGGCAGATTGAACTCTTAATTTTTTACTTTCGTTCTTTGATATCTTCTCAGCGGCCTTCTCACTTGCAGATATAGCTTTTTCTCTTGCTTTCATCTTTCGGACATTTTTGATCTCTTCAGAGGCCTTCCTTTCTTATCTTCCTGTTTCAGAAGACACCCCTAATCAGAGGAGGCAAAAAACCAAGTAAACAATTTCAGAGCAGCAAAAACTCAAAAAGAGAGAAACACACATACACACACACAAAAAGTACTCTTAGACTCTTGTCAGAGAGTGATGTTAATATTTGAGTGAAGGGTGACAAAGATTCAAGCATAAAATGTTGGAAATAATATGCAAGACATGAAAATGGAATGTCGAGTAGCAAGGACAAAAAGCAGGTGTGAAGATATTGTTAAAGTTGCAGTTCGCTCATCAACACAAATGGAAAACCAGCCAGAACATTGCCAAAATCTGATTCTCGCGAGTTGACTGAACTTGTGAATTTGCAGCAAACTCACAGCTTCATGAGTTTGCTGAATACGCAAGTCTGACCCAGCTCAATCCCTAGCCACACAAAAAATGTCCAAAATCCCTAACACTAGTAACTCTTCCGCCTTCCTTTTACTCCTCTCATTGCACAGATACATGAACAAATAAACACACTCTTCAGTCAAGCACAACCGCATTTTCTATGAGCACCAACTAGTGGGGATTGACCGACTGGGTTTAGGAATTGGAGAAAACATCAATCCGGGGTGGACTAAAGATGGGATGAGAAGAATGTGACGCCTATGTTTCACACTGAATAATATGGGATGATTTAAGAGATATTTAGTAGGTTGGTTCTAGAAATTCAATAGTCCCCTTCCCTCTTGAACACTCAACAATTAGTACCAAAACCTGATTGCCAAGCAGTTTGGAAAGAGTTAACCATGGAACGTTCTGACCAGTAATGAAGTGAGTGTCACTGAATAAACTGTCATGGAATATAGTCACTGGTATGCTGATTAAATAGCATCCAATACTCTATATCGTACACCAACCTTACAGAAAGAAAACACCTAAGATTTAAAGATGGGTGAACACAAATTTGGTAAAACATTATATTTTTACATATTTATTGCATTTTTAATCTGTGTGCAGTAACCTGGAAGGACAAATATAACGAAAGTACGTTATTAAAATACCAAATTCTTCGGATGACAAGTTTTATACTTGCCAAATGTTGGTTTAATAAAACATTACAGAGTTCAGACTAATGGGCTGCCTAGCCTTCATCTTTAAAACCATGCATTTAATGGTTCAGTGTCAATGTGATAATAACCCGCCTCAAGATAGTTGAACACAAATTTAGAGAAACTGTGCTGAATGAAGAAGCATGAAACTCCAAAACATCCAGATGTCCATTGAAAAAACGTGGGAAAATTAACTATATCCGCAAACATTTTTGGAACGAATTATTACTTAAGCTACTTTTCCTTCAGAGGTCTTGGTAAGTGGGAGTGGAGCCAGCGCTGTTGTAGCGGTGTCCGGATATGACATTTGAGAGACTATTTTATGACGTTCCTAAAAAACTGAAACTTTGGAAAATAGATGCCAATTAACCTCTCTACAGGACCAGTAACCTTCAGCATTCCCAATGATAACGCAGAAAATACAATACTTACATGCTGGGAGCACCAGAAACTGGGCCTTGAGCTCCGGACTCTGATGTGTCCATTGCTGCACATAAAAAGGGGGGAAATTTTCAAGGTTTAACAAGTGCAGAAGGCTAACTTCTACAAGAAAACAGTTACGGCGGCTTCATATAAAACAGGAAAGGCTTACAAGACAATCAAATCAAGAGCACCCGATATTCAGTAATCAGAGACAGCAAGTAAGAAGCGATTAGATCAACAATTAAAGAACCAAATTTCTTATTTTCCATTCATAATTTTAATTAAAAAAAAAAGAAAGAAAGAAAGACCACGGTTCTGCCGAGTTGCTGCAGAAAGTAAAGACCACGGTTCTGCTGAGTTGCTACAGAAAGTACCTTGAGGAACTTCCCCAGTGGATGGCTCGCTCATATCCATTGATACGGCACCATTTTCTTTTTCTTGTTCCTGTTTTTCGCCATGCTGAGAGAAGCGGCGGAGCAATTTGCAGCGTCCAAGGGCGATAGGGAGGACACCCAGGCCAAAACGGTGACAACGCCGCGGGTGGATTCTTTTTTTTTTTTTTTTTTTAATTCAAGTGTTTTATGCTCATTTTTCCTATTATGCCAAAAGGGTCCATATTCAGTTTTTTGTTCTTCTTTTTTTGGCAATTTTATGGACTTTGGGCCTCTTACGAACACCTTAATGCGTTAGGCCTCATACAGAGGCCCGTGTTTGGGTAACTCCTTGCCATGGAAGTTTCAAAGTAGATTGGGCTCAGAGGACCTATTTGGAAAGACAAATTATTTACCCCAAAAACACATAATATATACTCCGGCCCAAAAAAGGTTCAACCTTTTTCCCTGTAGTTAAAAAAAAAAAAAAAAAAGAAGTCTCACCATATTCAGAATCTTAAAAAATTAAAATCGGTTAGATATGAATGGAGTAAATATTGAACTGTGAGAGTTATTCTTATGTTGTTTTGTAATTAATTCTTGTGACAAATTAGTTATCATTGAAGGATGCATAACACGGGATTTCTGAAATGACACAGGTGTCCTCAAAGTATTTATCATTCATTCACTGATATTTTTACTACCTTCCATTCCATATGCAAGTGGTCCTGCCCCTAAGGACCCTTTCGAAAAAAGTCTCTACGGCACCCTATGAGTCAGTAATTTAACTGGCAAATCAATGCGATGCCTTAAGGAAGCAGGCATTTGTAAGTGGAATCAAAAGTCTTCTGTATTGACATTATCCATACTTGTCATTGATCCAAGTTCCCATATGAATTCGGAGAGATTCAGATGAAAATGTAATTATCATTAGAAAGATAATTATGTTTAACGTTATGCCTTCATAGTAATATAGGAAAAACATTAGTGAGGTGTGTGTGGTGATGATTAATTTAGTTTTTGGTTACAGGTTTGGAGAGAGAATCCCTCATAAAATAGCTTGGGACAATGACAAGGCATGAAGAAAAGTTGCTTTTGTGCTGACGGTGATGCTTAAACTGTTGTCTAAGCAAGGAAAAGGAACATTTTAGAGGAGGACGTATGTACTAAATCATATTCTGCTAGAAGCCTCTGAGATATTCCTGCAGGTGAATTTTGACAAATTAAGCAATAGCGTGGGAATTAACCTATGCTCAAAGTACAAATACACAAATATAACAAATGGCTCACAATAATTGGCAAATTTGCGTACACCTAGAGGATTGAGATGAGAATGAAGTCATGGAAATGAGTGAAACGATAAAGCAGCCACGTAATGCAAAGAAGGAGCCAAGGCTAAAAATCTCATCAATCACTTGTCAAATATATATTCAAATTCCAAACATATTATCATCAATTATCCAAAAAGGTTCCAAGAAGGATAAACCTACCTCTAACAAGTAAAGACCCCATCAAGCATAACACAACAACTCATTGACGACACTCCCTCGTGGCCCAATGATATATAGTGTTTCAACTGTTAAATCTGCTAGGTTGTAATGTCATAATTGGATCTTCCTTCTCCAACAACTCATTTTCCTAACCATTTAATTTAATCTAATTTCTTTAATAATTCAAGTCAATGGAGTCCAGAGAGCTGCCATTCTCCCCCACCCAAAACAGTTGCCATTTAATTTATTCTAAATTTTAAGTGTGATATCTCATAATAATAATAATAATAATATCTCGCTCTTAGAGTAAAAGCTAATGAAGAGTTTGTTTTAGTTTAAAATATAAGATTTCAATTTAAATTATTTTTGAAAATTTTAAATTTTAAGAAAAACCAACAAACATTTGTAATTTAATTTTTTTTAATATCAGTAAATTAATTATATAACTCATATATTAAAAACGACCAAACCAAGGAAATATAAAATTTGCATTAAATTTTAAAAAAAAAACAAACTTTAAGCGCCACGGATGTTTCAATCAATGGATCTTCGAAAGTTATTGGATCGGATTAGTTGGGCTGAGTTCAGGATGACGGGAACCCCTCATGATGACTAATTACTATCAAAATGTGAATTGCTTACAAGCGTTGTGATAATAGTAAGTTAGTAATACCTTGTTAGTCGTGATCTATAAATATCTCTATAAGTATTTTTTGAGTCTGAAAGTCTGTCCTGATCTTGGTGAGCTTCCGAAACCCAACTCATCTAAATTTTTTGTATAAAAAAAATAATAAGTTAGCAACACAGTTGTACATGTCATTTGTGCATTTATATTTTATAAAATTACACACACGCACATCCATCTTCGTCTCAAAAGCTGCATCTGACCACGGTATAAGAAGATACACTGGGGGTGTTGGGAAATCCAAAACCATGGTTTCAGAAGCACTTTTTCGCAAAACGAGTAATCTCCTCACATATTTACTTCGTAATCCGTAAAAGCACTCTGAAACCATGGTTTGGTTTCTATCGTAAAAGCACTACTGGTCAGGGTCAACGCACTATGCTCGTGAGATACGTTTAGAATGAGGAAAAGATTCTTTGTACGCAAAATTAAATATTGAGCCTCATTTTGTAAACTAGTATAGTAATTGTTATAAAAAAATAAGAAAAACTATTCTATAAGTAATTTTTTTTAATTTTTAATTTGATATCTATGTTCTTTTTATAAAAAAAAAATGTATAACTTTGCTCTGTTAAAACTCAGTCAGCCTTGAACTAGAACTACTAGTTAATAGTTATAAGGCTAACTGTGCTAGTCGAACAAAATGGAATAATTTGATAAAAAAAATTAAAGAAATGTACATGTACCAACAAAATGATTTTTCCTAAAATAATACATTAAATATGGTACTAAAATAATTTTATATATAGAGTAATCAAACTAGAGCATGAGTACTTGTGTAACTCCATCATAATGTGGCTTTCTTCTAGCTTGTGTGAGCATGAGCTTTTTCATTATCCACAGTGAAAAAACACAAGATAAAGACGGAGTAGTGTCACACTCACACACCCGTCCAAGCCATTAATCATCCTTGGCATTTACTCAAACAGCATGTGGACACAAAAATCTTTCACCCTTACCCTTCATCTTCATTATATTCCATGCCTCTCAGTGCTATCTTCGTCTTCCTTTGCAAGTTCCAATACATTACATTCCAATCTATACCTTCCCAGACAAAAAGCAACAATATGGAAGGAAAAGAGAGGAAGAAAAGTTAAAGACCAGGAATAATGTCATTCTCAGTCTCAGAGACATTTCAGAAGAACTTGTCTGAAAAATCTAATCTCTGTCAGAGTCATGCTCCATCATTTCAGTCACTGCATCTTTGCACATGACTTCGTTTTCCCTTTTCATTATACAAATCAAATAATCATCAATTATAAGATCAAACAACATTAGCAGCATGTAGCCATGTCCTAGATTGCCTGTATCTAGATGCTGTCTACTATACTATCCCTTTCATTATATATGTTTCAGCATATATGGGTGTTTTTTAAAATTTGAACTTTAGTTAAATCATGAAGTCTAAAGAAAGAAGTCAAGATTCTCCAACGGAAAGATCGGGAGGAAGATCATTTTCATCCTTTTCTTTTTCCCCCGTCTTCTTTTCATCACAATCTGCTCCAATGAACACGTAACGGCATGTAAGTTTTCAGCTGTTTTAAACTTTTAATTGCAAGATGAATATAACATACTCCCTCCAATCTTAAACGTGTGAATTAGATAATTAATTTACAAAAATTAAAAAAATTAATCAGTTTTATTACCTGTTAAACATATGTGTTGATTTTCTTAAAATAACCATTTAATAATTTGCAGTAAAAATTATTCCCATATTGAAACTTTTTTCTTAACGTGTACAATTAGTAAGGATAATTTAAAAAAAATTATAAATTTAAGACATGAAGTGAATTGTAATCTTAAAAACCAAAATAAACTTATCAGTTAGCTTTTACATTTAAGATTGGAAGAAATAGTTGAAGATTATGAGCAATTGAGTATGATCAAAGTGACAAACTACCATTCAATTTAGAGCTTGTTTGGAACTAGGACAAGAGCCTTCAAAAGCAGTTGTTCAGTAACAATTTATGAAACATGTAAGAAAAATTTTGTCTTAATTTATATGAAAATATTTGTAAGTATATGATAAGCAAATTCAATCAGGCCCTAAGAAAGAGTTTCCTTGCTATTATGTCGCAAGGGTATTGGCCAGCTACATATAAGTTTTGAATGAAAAAAATAATTTTTATTTAGAACTCTATCTATATTTCTTACTTGAATTTGATTGTTGGTACCTTATAACAACTATTAGTTCTAATAAATAAGAGTAGATGAAGATTAAATAAGGAGAGGGCAATTATGAATACAAGGGGGGTGAAGGGACAAAGGGAGAGGCTGGAAGAGGTCTAAGAGGTAATGATAAGAGGGGAGAAGCAATGGGAATGATTAAGAGTAGTGGGGTGAGCGATGATGGGGTCGCTTTTGAAGGGGACCATAATTATAACATCTACAGGGGTGGGGGTTGATAAAATTAAATTTGCATGGATTTGTTAATTTGTTCATTATTATTGATGAATGCAACTCACTATATAATAATGGTAGCGTTGGACACCGGCACACAAATCCTATCTTTTGCCCAGACATCGTGTGGGGGCGGGGTGAAGTAATGGTTCGTAACGAGGGGTGCATCCTCAGGAACACTGTGCACTTGGTATTCTAGAACTCTCAGTTTGGTCAATATCCAAAGGCTGACTGGGAAGGGCCTTCGGGATTCAGGAATATTTGGATTTGTAGTGGAAAATTCAATTGGTACTAATCTCACAGACAAATTTATTTTCAGGAAAAATATAAAAATTTACGTGAATTGAGTCTAGATATTTACCAGAATTAGAATATGTTTATAAACTCAAAAAGTACTTAGAGAGATACTTATAGAGCGCTTATTAACAAGATTTTTACATTAGCAGAAGAATTCAAACTTACAATTTTATGAGTTATAAGTCGATTCTTTTAC